AGCCATAGATGCTTGTAATGACACAGCATGAGGAGGTCACCAATCAGTTTGACACAACCTTTTTCTCTAAGATGTCCTTTATGATCTTGCAGAGGTTTTTCAAAAAATTTGTCTTTTTCTCCTTCTTATTTCTTCTCTTCTTCATTCTCTGGAAGCTCTAAGCCCTCTTTGGTGACAGACACTAAAGTCTTTCCCTCAAATTCCTTGAGTTGTTGGACACAGTACTCATTGATCAGCTTGATCATAGAGATCACTTCTAAACCATGCTTCAAAGACACTCCACACAGGCAGAGTCAGCTATCTGGTCCTTGATCTCACCTGGGATACAGCAGATGTGTTTCTGGTTTTGCTTCATTTTGGTGAAACAGTCCTTGAGAGAAACCATCTCGTTCCCTGAAGCAGACAGTGTAGTATTGTAACAGCTCTGAGAGTCTCTTTATCTTCTGCCAGATCAGCGAACAGTTCTAAGCATTTTTTTTGACCAAATTCTTAATGATTACTTTCAAAATTTTGCTTTGTTGCAACAATTCACAGACTATATAGAGAAGATCCTCAGAGTTCATCACTCCTCTAATGAAGTTCAGATATTCAGGGATTAGCTCCTCACAGTTATCCATGATGAGAACTTTGCATACATATAAGTTAATGTTGTTCTTTTTCTTTCTGTTTTCAAAGAGGTCAAATGGAGCACATCTTGGGACAAACAACAACAACAACAAAAAAAAACCCTCTAAATTCCAACTGTCCTTCAACAGAAAAATGCTTCACTGCCAAGTGATTTTCCCAATCACTGATCAAGCTCTTATAGAACTCTCTGTACTCCAGGTTAGTGATATCATCAGGATTTCTATTCCAAATGGGCTTTGTTTTGTTGAGTTCTTCATAATTGATATACTTCTCCTTAATCTTCTTGTCACTATCCTTCTTTTCTTCTTCTTCATCAGAATCAACATCTTCAATTTCAGGTTTGTCACAGGCTCCTTTTTCTTTTCCCTCCTTTTTATCGTATTCTTTAGCCTCATCATCACTGATTTCTTTATCACGTCCCTTTTCCACAAAGAGAGTAATGGGATAGCCAATAAACTGGGAATGTTCTTCACAATCTCCTTTATTCTTCTTTCCCCCAAGTACTCAATTTGATCTTCTTTCAGATGAAGGACAATCTTTGTGCCACCACCCACTGGTTCCCCTGTGTCAGTACTGACAGTAAAGGAGCTCCCTGCAGAGGACTCCTAGGGATACTGCTTATCATTGTTGTGTTTGGTGATCACAGTCACTTTCTCAGTAACCAGAAACACAGAATAAAAGCTGACACTGAACTGGCCAATCATGGGATGTCTGTCTGTAGGAGCCTGCAAAGCCTCCATGAAGGCTTTGGACCCACACATGACTATAGTACCAAGGTTACAGATCAGCTCAGCCTTAGTCATTCCAATTCCAGTAACCACAATCGTGAGGGTTTGGTTTTATTTGTTTGGCATGAGATTAATGTGCAGCTCCTTCCCAGAGTCTAGCTTACTGGATCTGTCAAGTTATCATATCTGATTTTGTTCAGGGCACTGGACACCTGGAAATCAGCTCCCACAGGAAGATCTCTTTGAGTAGAAAGTGTTGATGATCAATAACATCAACTAGGCAATCTCTGCTTGGAAGATGAAGGTCTTCACTTTCTCGTCCTCCATAGGTAGTCTTGGGTTTGGGTCTCCTCCAGCATCTTGGCTGGGTTACTGCATGGGATCTGCAGTGTAGCAGCACCAGGATGCTGAAAAGCAACTTTACATATCATTTTTAAAAACAAATTTCCAGAAACTAATTTTGGTAGAGTGTTGTTTCTCAAAAAGATATGGGGGTTGGGTTAGGACAAAAGACTGCAAAACAACAGAATTAATTAGTGGGAAAGTCCTATGACTTCAGACCCTAATGAGGGGAAGTCTGTTTTTATTTTTTTAATTAAATATCATGAGTTAAATTACTAAAATCTTCCAGAAATGAAAATATATACACATTAATACTGAAAAGATCAGTCATGACTCAGCTGGAAGTTGCTCTAGATCACAAGTTGAGAACTACCATCTCCGAGGTACAGGAAGGGAAAACATGGGTGTAGAGAGTAATGAAGTTCTTCAGAGTGATGGGGCCATTCAGCAAGTAAGCAAAATGGACAGAAATTCTCTATCTTCTTTCCAATAAATCATTCTGCTGCATTGGATTTTTTATGAATAAAAACATAAAATATATAATAGGCACCTGGTTTCTTCAAAATATTTATAAAAATTAATTCCTATAGCACTATTATGGGCTGTTAGCCTTATGGAACAGATGTTTAAAAAGATGCAGAAATTAAATAATTCCTTTAGTCAGTCTACAAAAATCAGTAGCAAAGTAAAGATTGGATATCATATATTAGTGATTTTATATTCTAATTGAGCTCTTGGCCTCAGAACCAAGTGCCTATATCATAGAATGTCTCTGGTTACTAGGTCAATCCCTATAATCTACTTTAATATAGGATCTACTAATAAATATATTTGATGATCTGCATCCAGCTACCTCCTCTTTCCCACTCCCCCGGTGTGATCATTCCAGTCTACAGAGACTCCAGTGGGCACAGAGTGAATCCAACAGCACCTCTCTATCTCCTACTTACACGAGGAAACAGTGTCAACTAGATCCTAACCTTTTAATGATTCTAATATTTCAGGGAAATACAAACTAATACTTATCTCAAAAACATATAAAAACTGGGAATGTAGCTTAGAGGTAGAGTGAATGCTTAGCATTTAAGCAAAGGACTGAATGCAGATGAGACATAGCAAAGCTTATTTAAGGAACTAAAAGAAGTTTAGTGTGGCTCAAGTATTCCAGTTGAGGTGAACCATAGAAGGCTTTTGTAAGGCATTTGGGTTGAAATTTAATGGTACAGAAACCCACCAAAGTATGATATAAAACTGTTTTATTCCTATTTTTTAAGATCACTTCAGTTTAAAAATTTGTCATATTATACATATCCTTGCTGTATGAAGTATGGTCCATAAATTAACAACATCAGTAGGACTAAAACACTTTATAGCAGCACTATTCATGAGAGTGAAAAAGTGAAAACAACCCGAATATCGATCAATTGATGAATGGATATATAAAATGTAGTATGTACATATAATTTAATACTTTATTAAATTTATAGAAGTACTGATACATACTACAGTATGGTTGAAAATTTCAAAAATATGCTAAATGAAAGAAGTTGGTCGTAAAAATACCATTTAGTATATAATTCCATTTATGTGAGATCCCCAAAATAGGTAAATCTATAGAGGCAGAAAATAGATTAGTGTTCGCTTAGGATTGGAAATAGGGGGAATATGGAATGAAGCCTAATAGGTATCAGTTTTCTTTCAGAAGAAATTAGCAAAAATTAAATATTGAGTTGTGAACACTGCACAATCCTGAGAATTAACTAAAAAAGACTTAATAATATACTTTAAAATGGTGACTTATAGGTACGTAAATTAGACTTCAGTAAATATGTTTAAAATTTTTGTGCCAGGCATGGTGGCACATGCTTGTAATCCCAGTGGCTCAGGAGGCTGAGGCAAGAGAATCATGAGTTCAAAGTCAGCCTCAGCAACTTAGGCCCTGAGCAACTCAGCAAGACCCTGTCTCTAAATAAAATATTAAAAAGGCTAGGGCTGGGGTTGTGGCTCAGTGGTAGAGCACTCACCTCGCACATGCGAGACCCTCAGCACCACACAAAAATAAATAAGTGAAATAAAGGCATTGTGTCCAACTACAACTAAAAAATAATATTAAAAAATAAAAATAAAAAGGTCTGGGATGTGGCCCAGTGGCTAAGCATCTCTGTGTTCAATTCCTGGTATCAAAACAACAACAATTTTTTTTTTTTGCAATTTTGATATCTTTGTAATATAATTAAAGTTAAACTATAATGAAATTACAATTTAATTATTTGATTACAGTGTCATCAAATTATAACAAATAAATAATCATAGCAAGAACTATGGTTCCAAGGTCAGAATTCTAACATTAACAAATGCTAATCTTTGGATCAGGCTTCTGGTAAATTTTTCTTCAAATGCAATATAATAAAAAATCAGTATTACTTTAAAAATTTAATTATATATCTATACAGCAGCAACATGTAGAAAATAAAACTTAAAGATACTTACAATAGTGCCATAAAATATAAAAAATCAGAAATAAATTCAATTAATCATGAGAAAAATCCACATACTAACTTTATTTCAATAATGTTTTCTGAAGAAGATCTAATAAACAAAGAAATTTATCATTTTCTTGGGACAACAGATTTATTGTAAAGATTCTATTAATCGCAACTATATTGATAAATATACTCAAAGCAGTTCCCTCTAACTCCTTGCAAAACTTTTTTTTTCTTTGTGTAGAAATTCAATGAAAATGCAAAAGATGAAAATAACAAAGATGAACTTAAAAACAACAATATGCTTAAGAACTTTAACACATATTAATACCTATTATAACATGAAGAAAATTCAAACAGTGAAACTGTGGTAGAAAACCAAATTAATGGAACAGAACAGAGGGTCCTCAACAGACTTAACAGAAGGCAACTACATATGATTTTATTTCTATAAAATTCAAAATTAGGTAAAACCAATCTTTGGTTTGATAAGTCAGGGTAATGGTTGATCTGTTTGGAGATGTACTGAATGGAAGGGAGGAAGTGAAGGCTTCTAAGGTTTGGGGGTCTTGACAATGCTGTTTCTTGATGTAAGGGTCTGCTTAGATGGGTGCATTCACTTTGTGAAAATTCAAGCTGTACATATGTATGTATGAATTTGTATACTCTTCTGTGTATATCAACTTCAAAATTTCTCAAAAATACTTTTAAAATTAAAGATTGTCCTATCAATATATTTATACAAAGATAACTATTTGAGCCTATGTAGAAAACCTACTGAATGTGGAAGTTACACTGTTTATATGGGGTTTCAACTCACCTTTGTCCTGTAATGCAATTTGTTGCTTATGCAGTAATGCTACTTCCCGTCCCAAAGCTTTCTTCTGTCTTTCCAGTTCATTGCGAAGCACCAAAATTTTTAATTGCAGGCATTCACTTTCTTTTTTCTAAGTAAAAAAAAAAATCACAGGTAAATTTATGAATAGAAAATTCATGACTATAAATAATTATTCATTAGTAATGTTTCAAATGAATAATGGTTTAATATTCATCAAACCTTAATTCTCAAGTAACTTAATTATCAGCCCTATCATTTTAATGAAAAGACTATAGAAATAAGCCAAGAATAAGATATCTTGGGTTCCTTTCCTGATATTGTAATACAAGATACAAAATTATTAGTAAAGAAAAAAATGGAGGGGCTAAGGATGTAGCTCAGTGGTAGAAGTACCAATACATGTTAAAACACAGATGAACCTTGAAAACATCATGCTATGTTAAAGAAGCCAGTTTTAAAATGCCACATAATGTAGTAACTTCATTTATATAAAAACTTCATAACCGGTAATCCAAAGAAACAAAAATTAGATTTCTATTCTTGCCAAGCTGAACCACAGTGCTCTAATTCCCAGCTCATTTCAGAGAAAGACATATAGGGCTTTCATATCTGTTAGGCAATAAGGAACTATTAATCGCAATTATATTGATAAATATATTGATATATATTGATAAATATATTGATAAACACAAGTCCATGGAGAATCAATGAACACCACCCGAGGAGCCTGTACTTCTACTACATACTGGTAGTAATGAGATAACCCTCTTTCACTCCAATGCAATGGTGTCAAAGCAGGCCTAATAGAATCAGAACCTTCACTATTACCCATTACTAATGAGGCACCCTACTTTCTGTGATACAGTGGAGGCCAGGTAGAAAGCAGCAATGAGGTACTTATACTCTACTCAGCCAAAAGTATCAATGGAGTCCTAGTAGGGAGCTACACCCACCAGGCAATAATGAGACAGCACTTCTTCCTTCCCTACCACAGCAGCATCAAAAAAAGCCAGCTAAAACAAAAGGTTTAAATAAAACCCAGAGATTTATAACATTATATCCAAAATATCCAAGTTACCATTTTAAAAAAAATCAATCATCATATTGATAACCAGATGATGTCAAAACAAATAAAAAAGGACAATCAATAGATACCAACATGAAGATGATAGAAAAGGTACAATCATCTCACAAAGATATGAAAGTAACCCCCATAAACATGTTTCAATAATTAAAAACATGCTTGAAATTAACAAAAATATAAAAAGTCTCAGTAAAGAAACAGAAGATATAAGAACCAAAAGGAAATTTTAGAACTGAAAATAACTGGAACAAAAACCTCAGTAAATTAAGCTCAAAGGCAGAATGGAAGAGATAGAGAAAACCATCTGTTAGTTAGAAGGCAGAACAATAGAAATTGCCCAATTTAAATAGCAGAAAAAATATACTAAATGAACAAATGAATGAATGAAAAAAGAAAAGAGGGAAGGAGGGACAGAGGGAAGGAAGGAGTAAGCAAGCCTGGTGCTGTTTTATTAATCATTCATTTAATTTCTTAAATAATTACAGTTAATAAAACAGCACCAGGCATAGTTGATTTCACTGGTGAATTCTACCAAATATTTAAAGAAGAAACAATACCTATTCCTTAAAATCTCTTCTGAAAATGTGAAGCATTTTCTATTTCACTGAATGAAGCCAGCACAATCCTAACACCGAAACTGGACAAAGATATCACAAATATTAGCAAATCAAACCCAACAATGTGTAAGTATTATACACCATAGTCAAAAGGAATTGATTCCAGGTATGTAAGTTGCTTTGAAAACAACTAATATAACTGATCACAACAACAGACTAAGGAAGAAAAAGCTACTGATCCTTATCAATAGATGTAGAAAGAGCACGAGTCAAAATTCAATACCTGTTCATGATTTAAAAAAAAAAACAAAAAACTTTCAGAAACTAGAAAAAAGGGGAACTCCTTCCATTGGTAGAAAATGTCTACTAACTAAAGTAGAGCTAATATCAGAATTATTGGTAAGAAACTAGATAAGACAAGGAAATAAAATTTATACAGAATGGGAAATAATGAATAAAATATTTGTTTAAAAATAATATATTAGTCTATTTGGAAATCCCAATGTATTAACAAAAACAACAACAATAAAATCCCAAATCCAAAACCCAAAAAATAACCTCTAGAACCAATGAGCAATTACAGCAAGACTGCAGGACATAGTATTAATAAACACAAAAGTTGATGCTTTCCTGTGTAACAGCAATGAACAATTGGAATTTGAAATTAAAATTTTTTTAGAAAAACTTTATCCTAGCATAGAAATGAAATACTTTGGTAGAAACCTAAAGAACATATTCAAAATCTATAATGAAAACTACAAAATTCCAATGAAAGAAATAAAAGAAAATCCACGTATATGGATAGATCATGTCCATGGATATGAAGACAATGTCAATATTCCCCAACCTGATAGATTCCAAGCAATCAGAATAAAAAACTCAAAAAGTTATTTTATCAACAAACTGACTCTGATTACACAAGGGCAAAAGATCCTGAAGAACTAGCACAACATTGAAGGAAAACAACAAAGTTGGAGAAATATTAGTATCCAATGTTAAGACTTAATGTATAGCTGCAGTAATCAAGACAGTATAGGATTAAGAACAAACAAGATCAATGGAATGGAAACAGACAACTCAGAAACAGACCCATACAAATGCAGTCCAATGATCTTGGGGAAAGTAACAAAAGCAATTCAATAGAGAAAGAACATTCTTTTCACCAAATGATGCTGAAATCACTGGATAGCCACATGAAAAGAAAACAAAATCACAATCAAAGAAATCAATTTAGATACAGACCTTACACCTTTTGTAAATATTACCTCAAAATGGATCATAAACCTAAATGTGAAATAAAAACTAAATAACTCCTAGAAGGTAACAGGAGAAAAATCTAGGTAAGTCTTTAGATGATCAAGCCCCATGAAAGAAGAAATTGGTAACTTGAACTTCATTAAAATTAAAAACTCCTCTGGGAAAAACACTAGTAAGAGAATGAAAAGACAAGTCACAGACTGGAAGAAAATCTTGGCAAAATCCATATCTGATAAAAGACTAGTATCCAAAATATACAAAGAACTCAATAATAAGAAAATAAAGTAAAACTCAACAATAAGAAAATGAACAACCAAATTAAAAAATGGAAGAGATATGTGTATAGTCACTTCACCAAAGAAGATACACATATGTGTATATGGCAAATAAACATGAAAACATGGTGATATGTCATCAGAAAATTACAAATTAAAACCCCAATGAGACACAACTATAAACCTATTAGAATAACTAAACTTCGCAACTCTTCATAATCCCAAATGCTCTGAGAAACAACACAAACTTTCATTCATTGCTAGCGGGTATGAGAAATAGTCACTTTGGAAAATAGTGTGGCAGTTTCTTACAAAGGTAAATATAAGCTTACTATATGATACAGCAGTTGCACTTATATATTAATCCAGATGAGTTGAAAATGTATATATACACAAATATATCTATGGCAACTTTATTCATAATTGCCAAACTTGGAAGCAACCAAGAGGCACTTTATTTAATAAATCAACAGATAAAGAAACTTTGGTATGTATCCATGTAGTGGCATTCAGTAATAAAAAGACAAGTCAACAATCTATGAAAAGACAGAGTGAAACTTTAAATGTATATCTCTAAGTGAGAGAAGCCTGTATGAAAATACTACATACTGTATAATTCCTACTACATACCAGTCTAAAACAAGGCAAAACTATGAAGAAGTAAAAAATCAGTGGTGATGTAGAGTTTGGGAGAGGGAGAAAGGGATAAATAGGTGGAGTACCAGGGATCTGTAGGGAAGTGAGACTATTCTGTATGACACTATAATGATGGATACATGACAATGCATTTACCATGTGTCCACACAGAGTACTGTAAACTAGACTTTAGTTAATAATAACTTATCAATATTGATTAACAGTTTAACAAATATATACCACTAATATAAGATCTTAATAGTAGAATAAATTGAGGTGGGGAGCAAGGTATTTGGGAGTTTACTATACTTTCTGCACAATTTTTCTGTAAACCTAAAATTTGTTCAGAAAAGAAAGTTTTGTTGTTGTTTTAGAGTCACAGAGGTACACGGTAAAATGTCAGCATTAGTATATATTTAATTGTGCATTAGTATATATTAATTATACAGCATATGGCATGACATAATTTAATCAATTTCATTCCTCATTGTCTCCCCATACCCTTTCACCTTTACCCTGATCCTCTTCTTCTACAATAGTCTCCCTTCTGCATTCCTGATGTCCTTTTTCCCCTTCCTCTAATTTCCACATAGGAGAGAAAACATGATACTTGTCTGAATCTTATTTCATTTAACATGATGATGTTCGGTTCCATCCATTTTTTTCTGAAAAAATATTTTGTTTATCTTTATGGCTGAATAATAGTCGTGTGTGTGTGTGTATCATGTTTTCTTTATCCATTCTTCTAACACCTATACTGAGTCCATAACGTGGATATTGTGAATTGTGTATGCATGGATATGTAGGTATCTCTAAAGTATTCTGACTTTAACACTTTCAGATAAATATTAAGGAGTAGTTTAAATGGATCATGTGGTAGTTCTATTTTCAGTTTATTGGAGCAACCCCCGTATTGATTTCCACAGTGGCTCTCTTAACTCACATTCCCACCAAAGTGTTTAAGGGTTCCTGTTCCCCTGTATCTTCACAAGAATTTATTGTAATTTACCTTTTTGATGATTTCCATTCTGACTAGGATGAGACAGAATCTCAATAGTTTTGATTCACATTTCCCTGATGGCTGAAGTCTTTGAACATTTGTCATATAATTACTGGATATTTGAACCTCTTTTGAGAAGCAGTTTCTTTTCAGTTCTTTTCTCATATATTGAATGGGTTATTTGTTGTTTTGGTGTTAAGATTTTTGAGTTCTTTATGTATTTGGTATTGTTTTAGTTAGCTTTTCCATTGCTGCAACCAAAATACCTGACAAGAACAATTTTAAGGAGGAAAAGTTTGT